AGTGTTTAAGTCATGCTATGTAAATGCAAGTGTTCTGGCCTTGCACTCTCTGGAAAATTTTATGAAATAAGTCAAGAGACCCTTAGCCATAGAAATTATACTGTGACAAATAATGAAATCCTAAGGAAAGAATAACATGAATGCTGGTCATTGACTTAATCATCCAGAGCTATTCATTCACTCAAATGTTTGTATCTATACTATATGAGATACACATAAAACTAGGACTACAGAAATGATTCGGAGAAGCTCTTTTTACAACTGAGACTACTAGGATGACAAGTAACCAATTGCTCTAGTATAAAACATACAACATGGTAAAGTATCAAAGGTTTTGGTTATAAAAGATACATAGGAGAATCTTGGAAATTTTGACAAATTCTAATAAACAGTACCTTGTTACGATAGGGTAACAGCATTCGCAAAAGAAGGAATAGCAAGGATGCAGGTTTGAAGGAAGTAGTTGAGCTAAATAGCATATTTGGGGGGAAATAGAAAGTACTTTGACATCATATCTTGACAGGTTCTGTTTGCTATTTTGTAGGCAGTGATTTTTTTTAAAAATTCTAGAAATACTTCCAGTTCCGGCTTGCCTCTCTTTCTGTGTAGACAGCAGGCTCTCAAGCATGGTGAACGTCCCTAAACACGCCAGACCTTCTGTAAGAAGTGTGGCAAGCACCAACCTCATAAAGTGACACAGTACAAAAAGGGCAAGGATTCTCTGTCTGCTCGGGGAAAGCGGCGTTATGACAGGAAGCAGAGTGGCTGTGGTGGACAGGCTAAGCCTATTTTCCGGAAAAAGGCAAAAACTACAAAGAAGATTGTGCTGAGGCTTGAATGTGTTGAGCCCATCTGCAGATCTAAGAGAATGCTGGCTATTAAGAGATGGAAGCATTTTGAACTGAGAGGAGATAAGAGAAAGGGCCAAGTGATCCAGTTCTAAGCCTCATCTTTTCTATTATGAAGGCCACAAAATCTTGAGGTGAATGTTCAGGTCATTTGGTTACAGTTGGTCTATTTGTGAGGGAATAAAGTAATCAATAAAATTACCCTTTTGGGGAAATCTGATTCATGATACTACTTGTTTTGGATTAAATCTGACTGGCTGAGCCCACATAAAAAAATTCTATAGGTTGAATTAGACACGATTAACGTTATATTGCTTATTTGATGAGAGTTTAAGCTAAGTCTTGATATTTTTTTGTCCTACTGGTAGATCCAAAATAAGTTATGGGTTGGAGTAAAGAAACTGAAACAGGAACTGAAGTCCTAGATCAGCCTTGGAAAGAAGATCAGGAAGTGAGGGATGACCCAGGGCAATAGGAACCCTAAAGAAGGATTTTAGACCTTGATAGAACAGCGAGTGGCCCAAAAGTTCCTTCACAGAACCCCAATGAAACTCCAACCCATTTGAATTATTTTTCTTCTCTACCTTGATTTGTGCACACACACATACACACTCTCACCAGAGAGAGACAGAGAGAGAGGGAGAGGAGAAAGTACCCTCTAAAAGGCATGGTCACTCCTCATTCCCTTCTCCTCCATCTTTCCCTCCTTTCAGGACTTTGGATATGCATGCACACATGCCAGGTGTGTTCCTCAAGCTTTTGAACCTGGAACTCAAACCGTGCAGTTGGCCATGTGGGATCTGGCTGCCTCAACCACCACAGCACAGGCTCCCCTCTGCCTTGATCACCCTACCCTACTGTCTCGTGTCTCTCCATCAATATAAGGGCTTCACTAGTCCATCAGATGTGATTTGCCTAGTCTCTCCCCAGGAAAGTTTCAAGGGTTTAACTCAAATGAGGAAGACAAAGTTATATTCGTATAGCCTATAAGTGTGTTTTCATAGACTTGTTACATCCGACTTTGTCTACTAGATGCTGAGTCTCTCCTCTTTATCTGTGTGATTTGCTCTGAGTCTTAGGGTATAATTGGGCTAGATTTCAGATCTGGTCCTGACTCAGGTCAATTCTTTCTAAGATATGAAAAGGATGCTTAAAGTGAGTTTTGTTTTGATTTGATTTGCCAGTGGGCATCGGTGCTCACTGGAAAAAGAGAGAGAGAAAGAGAGGAAAAGTGAGAAATCACCCACCCCCATGGGGCATGGTCACACCACAATCCCTTCTCTTCCATCTCTCCCTTCTTTTAGAATGTTGGGTTCACATGCACCTTGCATATTTCTCAAACTGAGAGGTCCAACACTTGAACTGCACAGTCACATCATGTGGGACCTAACCACCTTAACCACCAGGCCATGAGTTGGCCTTAAAATGAGTTTTTAAGAGGCATTACTTTGAAGCTTTTCAAATGTCTTACTTGCACATAAAAGAACCTCAACCTGGGAACCAGCATTTAGTGTAATGGCTATGTCGCTGGACTCCCATGTAGTCGACCGCGGTTCACGTCTCGGACCCAGTGGCTTAAAACTCACGCCGGGAATGTGTACGTGCGTGCCCAAGATCCTGAGAGGAGAATGGAGGAGAAGGGATTGCAGCATGACCATCCCCCCTAGGGGGTGATTTCTCGTTTTCCATCTCTCTGTCTCTCTCTGTCTGGCGAGCGCATGCGCCCTATAGTGAAAATATCTCAAAAAAAAAAATAAAAAAAGAACCTCAACCAGAAGTTGGCAGGTGGCATGGTGGTTAAGGTGCTGGACTCCCACATAGTTAACTATGGTTGAAGTCCCAGAACTGTGGCTTGCTTTTCACTTTTCCTCTCTCTCTTTGTCCCTCTCTGGTCAAATTTAAAATAAATAAAATTAAATAAATAATTATCTAAAACAAAGAAGAACCTCAGGCAAATGAATATAGTCAGTCTCCAAAAGGGCCCCTGATGAATCCTGACTCTTGGTATTCATGCCCTTGTGTGGCTCCTCTTTGTATTGGATAACCAACACAGTGTTGCTGAAATAGCAGAGTGTGGTCTCCAAAGCTAGGTCATAAAAGACATTGGAGCTTCCACCTTACTTTCTTTAAAATTTTTGCTCCACAAGAAGCCAGTTGCCATGATGGGAAAACACTCAAGTAGCCCTATGGAGAGGTACGCATGGCACAAGAGGCTTACCAGCCATGTGAGTGGGCCACCTCAGAAGCTCATCTTCCAGTCTCTGTCAAGCCTTCAGATTATGGCAGCCCTGGCTGACATTTTGACTGTACTTCAAGAAAGACCCTGAGCCAGAATCATCCAGCTAAACTGGCCCTAGATTCCTAACCCTGGAAACAGTGAAATACCAAATATTTGCTTAAACCACTATGGGATCATACTTAGCAATATAGAATACAAATAGAAACATAAGCTACATAACATTTCAGTCAACAACAAGCCACATGTATAGTGGTGGCTTCATAAGATTATGATGGAGCTAAGCCATTGTGACATAGCATAATACATTATTCACATGTTTTTGGTAATGATAGTGTAAATAAACACTGCACTTCTGGTTGTATAAAAGTATAGGTCTTTCAGGGAATATTCAGAAGAAGACATTGTTATCAGGGGATGACAGTTCCATGCATGTTATTGCCCCTGGAGATCTTCCAATGGGACAAGATAATAGAGGTGGAAGACAGTGATATAGATAGTTCTGACCCTGTGTAAGCATAGGTTAGTGTGTGTGTTTGTGTCTTAGGAATTTTTTTTAAGAATTATTTTATTTGTTTAACTTCATTTGTTATTTTTTAATTTGACTAGAGAGAGAAAAAGAGGGAAAGTGAGAAAGCCACCAGGTCAGGAACTTGAACCACAGTCAACTATGTGGGAGTTCAGTGCCTAGAACCTAAGTCCAGTCCAGTGACTTAGAGTCTAACAAAAGAGTTTAAAAAGCAAAAACAAAACAATTTTTTTTCTTTTTTTAGAGGTTTTTGCCTTAGGTTGTATGTACTTGCCAAAGAGACAGAGAGATGAACAGAGACAGTGAGAGGAAGAGTGAAAAATCACCCCCAAGGGGGTAGGCAATGCCATAATCTCTTCTCCTCCCGGGATTTTGGGCATGCTTGCACATGTGCCCAGCGTGATTTTCAAGCTACTGGGATCCAGGACTTGAACTATGGTCAGTCATATGGTGGACTCCCATCCAGTGACATAACCACTATGCCATCTGCTGGTCCCTCCAAGACACTTTTTAAAATAAAAACAGTTTATAGAGGAATATAAAGACAATTTTGTACAGATGGTCAATGTATTTGTGTTTTAAGTGTTATAAAAGAGTCAAATTTTTAAAAAATATATAAGAAGTTGAGACCAGCAGTTGGCGTAATGGCTGTGTCACTGGACTCCCATGTAGTTGATTGCGGTTTGAGTCCTGGACCTGGTAGCTTGAACTCACACCAGGCACATGTGCATGTGTGCCCAAGATCCTGAGAGGAGAATGGAAGAGAAGGGATTGCAGGGTGGCCATCCCCCCCTGGGGGGTGATTTCTCACTTTCTGTTTCTCTGTCTCTCTTTCTGGCAAGCATACACGTCCTATACAAAACAAAAAACAAAAAAACCTCTCCAAAAAATTTTTTTGTATAAATGTAGTGTCCTCTAAAGCACAGTGTTTATAAAGCATACAGTAGTATACAGTAATGTCCTAGGCCTTCATATTAATTCACCACTCACTGATGCACCCAGAGCAACTTTCAGTCCTGCAGGTTCCATTCATGGTAATGGCCTTATCAAGCATATGATTTTTTAAAATCTTTTTTTACTGTATTTTACTATATCTTTCTAAATTTAGATCTGTTTAGATACACAAATACTTGCCATCGTGTTACGATTACCTACTGGAGGAGTCCAACCTGGTGGGGCTCCAGGACGCGTCTGAGCCCCTTGACCTTTGAGCATCGCTTCCGGTCGGTTCAGTGAGTTGGCAAGGCCGCGACGTCCCCCCGACCGCTCCCCTTTACCCTGACCGCTTACTGTTAATTACAACGCTTCATTGGGCACAGTAAAGGGTGTGCTAAAGTTCTTCCTGATCTTTGGAAGGCCCTTCAAGACACATTTAATATAAATAATCTTTTCATGTACAATAGGACTAGGCCGAAGCTGACCCAGGGCGCTCTCGTCCCATGGTAACTAATGTTCAACCAAAATACATAACAGTGGTGCCATAGGTTACACAAGTGTATCCACAACACCATAAACCCATTTTAAAGTTTTTCATTAACTTATTAGTCACTTCATCACCAGTTGAAAAGGCTGTATCCCCGCCCTCATCAAGTGAACACTAACTCCACCCCTTCAGGATAGGTAAATACATTAGGATTCCTTAAGTTTTAAATCCCTATAGAATTATATAAGTATCATTCTTTATAAAAATCCATAAGAACTAATATTTATGCTTGAGATTTTCTTTTAGTAATCATAAGACGGCTGCTGCTGAACATCAGTTGATAGTTAACTCTGCTTGCTGGAACTGTTTCCTGAAACTGCACTGCTTGAAGTTACCAGGAACCTGCTTTCATCAATCAAACAATTGTTGAACTGTATCGATGATTAATAGACTTGCCCTTAATCAAACCCTGGATGGTTTCTATTGTTAAAACATTATGAATTGATCATTAGTACACGTAGCCCCTCTCCCATTTACTTGCATGTATCCCATTTTCAATAAAAAGGCACGGTGATTCCTAGCAGTTGTCACTCCTCAGAGAGCGATCTTAGAGGAGTGTCCGGCTTAGGACGTGCATGAAAAAGCACGAGGCCTTTGTCTTTCTTTCCCTCCAGTGTCGCCTCTGTCGAGCAAACCCACCCCTGCCGAGGCTGGTCCCCGGCAACCTACAGTATATAATACTGTAACTAGTTACATAGCTTAATAGCCTAGGAATGATCAGCTATACCATATAACCAGGTATGTAGTAGGCTATACCATATAGGTTTGTATAAGTATTCTCTATGTGTTCACAAAACAACAAAATCACCTAATGCATTTCTCAGAATATAACTCCATCATTAAGTGACACATGGCTGTAGCATATTGATACTGGTTTAATTTTGCTTTATTTCAGGACTAAGACTTGTCTAGAATTCTAGTTTAATACTTTGTAATCTATTTCCACAGCCATATAGCTGAATGGAGAAAAACTGTAGTGTAGCCCTTTAGGATCTCTACCAGCTAACTTCTTGCTGCTCCTTTAAGTATACCCTGTGTTTTAGCCTTCTAGATCACATGGCTCACTCTTTTTCCTTGTGCAAACCTTCTATTGCTTTCTCTGCCTAACTCAAAATAAGTCAAAGTTTTACAGATTGCACATGATCTGGCCCCTGGCTGCCTTAAGCCTGATCTCTCACTACTTTTCAACCCTTTTCTATACTCTGGCCATACCCACTGGATTGCTATTCCTTTTACGTAGAATGTTCTTCCCCAGATATCCACAGGACTCGCTTTCTTCAGATCTTTGCTCAAACATTCTTCCTCAGAGAAGTTTCTCCTGATGACTACATATAAGGTAGCTACATTCGCTCCCTCTCCTGAACAATTCATGACTACTCCTTTATCTGACTCGCCTTATCAATAACTCCCTCTGATGTGCCTGTCCTCCACCCCATTAATACATAAGATCCATCAGAGCAAGGACTTTGCACTGTCATATTCTGAGCATCCAGAGAAGTGCCTGGTACAAAGATACTCACTTGGAAAAAAATGAAGACAATGGTAATTGTTTGAGTTGCCCTCTTTATATTACCCACAGATTTGTGGATGAGAAAAGATGGGCATAGTATAGGGGGGAAAAAATGCTACTTCAGTTTTAAGAACCAAATTAAATATCTTAATCATGGAAACCACCATTTACAAGCCAACTTGTTCAGAGCAGCTCACCTGGAGGATATAAGAGATGACATCGAGGATGATGAGAACAATTTTAACATCTTGGACAGTGAGCAGTTTCACCAGTGGCTCCAAGACTCCAGAGTGGACAAGCTGGATCAACTGGTCTACAGTGGCCCCAGTTGTGAAGTTAGCCACTGCCCAAACAGCCTCTTTTTGGACTTTAAAATCTCCCTGCAGAAAGAGAACATTAAAATTCTCTGAAGATAACGAAGAATCTAAATAAAAGGATGCCAACTTGGTTCACTAACTAGGTAGGCTGGTGACAGCCAAAACTGTACATGCAATTTACATGGAACACCTTAGCCACCTGCCTCTGGTTTTTGATTAGTAAACAGTGTCTTTGAGAAGCCAGGAAGCAAGTGGCTGCAAATGCATCTTAGAGAGAGGTTCTGAAGTCAAATAGATTAATTTCCCTATGTCAGGCGATGGGGAAAATAGTTCAGTCCAATCTAGGCAATGTATACAGACTAAAAATTATGCTTGGAGTTTTAGATGATAATAGCCTAAACATGTCTAGTTTTTGTTTTTCTGACCTAGTCAGAAACTTTGGACAAGATACACGGACATGATCCAGGAGACTTAGATGGCCCAAGGTAACAAAGGAAGACCACTGAGATATTGCTCAATGAATCTTCTGCATTTATAAGAAGCAGCTGGCCCAGAAACACGGAAGTTACTGTAGATACTTCTATTTCCAGGTAGAAGGATTTATTCCCATTTTATGACTGGGGAAAACTGCGACTTCGGTATAACATAAAAATAAATAACTTATGACGCCAAGCAAGTTACAGTTCAAGAGAGAGTTTAAAATATGAGTACTTGATTCAGAATTGGGTGTTTCTTACTAGAATATGCACAGATGCACAGCAGAACACAGGCTAGGAAGTGAATAGATTAGATGCCATGATTTGGGCTGTGCACCTGGTATCTCTTACCTAGCTTTTCATACCTGATGCATATCTGGGGACTTGCCATTCAACCTGAGAACAGAACCATCACCAGTAGGCTCCTCTTTCCCAAGCTCTTCTACCTGCCTTCCTAACCTCAATTCTAGTTAACCAATCCTGACTGTAAATGGTTTAAACACAGCTCATTCATTAAAAGGTGGCAAAAGAAAACACTGATGATAGTAATTACTCCTGAGGAAGGAAAGTAGGAAGCAGGAGGAAGAAAGAAGCTTTCCTGTGTTTCTACTTTTATATTTGTATTTTCTAAGATTAATATTCATCGCTTTGATTATATTAATCAAATATTAATAAAATTAAGTCACTTAGTTGATTATGGATATAATCATACTTAATTCATTTAATTTGTGTGATAATATTAATATTAATCCATTTAATTGGTATATTAAAAAGATCACTTATGACATCAATATAGCCTGATACATTTTTCCTCCAAAACTAAACTTTCTCCCACTTTTGGCATTGGAAAATAGATGGCACATTCTTTGACCACCATATAGAGATGAACCAGTAATAACCAGCTCAAGATTTTTCAGGCTTAAGCCTTGGGGTCACTTTTTCACTGAACCATGCTTGTTTAGTCTTCCAAATTTTTAACGGGTTCTTCAGAAGGGAATCTCTCTTTTTTCAGGGAGGGCTAGAAATCTAATATCTCAACTCCATTGCGATTTCTTAGCCTGTGTCTGAATTCCTAAAGGAGTTTAACACAAGGTTTTTGGGAAGTAATCTTTTGCCATGTATGCCAAACATGCCACTTACATTTTTTAGCAGAGCCACCAAGGGGGGCAGCATGTCATAAGAAATCAGCTGCTGAATATGATGGCAGGGCCCTGCGGCCACATTGCTTAGGGCCCAGGCTGCCTCCTTCTGGATTGAGGGCTTGGGGTGTCCCAAGAGCTGGGGCAACAGGCTCAGCATGCCAGCATCAATAGCCATTTGGGTCTGGTGATCTGTTCCCGTGACAATGTTTCCCACGGTGCGGAGAGAAGGGGTCTGGAAGGAGAAGATTAGACATGGGAATGCTGCAAACCTAAGACAGTAGAACCCGCACAAAGTCCTGCGCCCTCCCAAACATTAGTCATGCTATGCTGATAGTGTTCTAGAAGCTTGGGAATAATAATATCCATAATTCTTATTAATTCAGTGTATCCATGGCTGTTTTCACATAGTTTTTAAGTACCCGTCAGCCTCTCAATAGTTCTGGCTCAAGTGGGATAGAGGTCAACTATAACTTTATCAAGAAATGCTGCTGTCCTTTTCATACGCTTTGTGTTGGGCTAAATTGATTATAGAGCTTATCACGTAATCATGTCTACTGAATTTATATTTAGCACCAGCACCAAGCTTCTGTTGTATATTTAATTGGAGCTAATGAGATCCCAAAGGTATTTCTCGGTGTATTCACCAGTCTCTCACCGTGACTGCAGGATGGGCCTACATTTGGGTTCAAGACAACAACTGTCCCAGGGGGGCTGACTACTTGGGTTTCTCCGCACTGTAGTGGCAGCCCTGGGGAGGCCCATCAACAGTTTTAGAGGGGTTTTTTTAGCCTATTTTAGCAATTTCATTAGGCCACATACCTGCTACTCAAGCAAGAGGTAGAAGTAGCAACATAGGCCAATTATAGCCTTGCCAGGACAGCTCCAAATCAACCCCTGATTAGTAATCTCGTCTTATTCTCTCCACATCCTCCATGCCTGAGCACTATCCCCACGAACCAGCCATGACATCTGAGAAACACTGTGGTGATCTCAGACTAGGTGCATTAAGGCTGCACAATGTACAATATTAGACATAGGAATCAAGAAGGACAGAGTGGGGGCATCTTAAATCATATGGGTATTTCAAAGCTATACATTAAGTATGTTCAATAACCTAGCAAAACGTTCAATAATGATTTTATTTTAACCTATATCCAAGCTAAGAGAACAAACTGGGGAGAGGATAAGAGGGAATTTTCTTCTATACTTGTATAAAAAACTCAAATGTTGGGGCCAGCAGGTGGTGTGGTGGTTAAGGGCACTGGACTCCCACATGGCCAACTGTGGTTCAAATCCTGGACCTGGCAGCTTACCTTCTCGCTTTCTCTCTCTCTCTCTCACTCTGTCCCTCTGGTCAAATTAAAATAAATAAAGTTAAATAAAGTAATTCTTTAAAAAAGAAAAACTCAAATGTCATAAAGAACTTTACACACAACACACACTCTCTCTAAGTCAACTTGTAAAAGTCTATAGGCATGGGACCAGCAGTTGGTGTAATGGCTATGTCACTCGACTCCCATGGAATCGACCGCGGTTCAAGTGCCAGACTCAGTGGCTTAAACTCATACCAGGCACGTGTGTGTGTGCCCAAGATCCCAAGAGGAAAATGGAGGAGAAGGGATTGCAGAGTGGCCATCCTCCCTGGGCGGTGATTTCTTGCTTTCTGTCTCTGTCTCTCTCTTTTTGGTGAGCACATGGGCTCTATAGCTAAAGCCTCTCCAAAAAAAAAGTTGTTTAAAAAAAGTCTATAGGCATAGAGCACTAGAAGGAGAGAGTGTAAAAGTAATTATCTGGGTGGTGGAATTTATGAGCAATTTCATTTGGTACTTTTCTATATTTTTCTTTTTCTCTCTCTCTCTCTTTTTTTCTTTTAAAGTTTTTGCCATAGGGCATGTGTGCTCACTGAAGAGAAACAGAGAAAATGAGAAATCACTTCCCAGAGGGGATGGCCACACTGCAATTCCTTCACCTTCATTCTCCTTTTGGAATTTTGGGCATGCACACACATGCAACTGGTGTGATTTTTCAAGCTACTGGGTTCAGGACTTGAACCACGGTTGGCCATGTGGAGTCCAGTATCTTAACCACCACACCACCTGCTGGCCCCTCTATATTTTTCTAATTATCAAATTAAGTAAAAGGAAGTTACTTCAAACCCAAAAATATTTTAGATCAAAACAGATTAACGTCTTTGGCAAGAGAGCAGCAAAGACCAGGGAAAGGCAAATGACAAGTTATATTCTGTGTAAGAAATTAGAACTAACTATGAAGGCCTAGAGGGGGAAAAGAACTTACTAAAGTACATGCAACTCACAGACTCTAATTTGAGAGTCCTGACTAAGACAGACAGGGCCCAGGACAACATTTACCAAGACATTGAGTTCTGAACTAGCCAGGAGCTCTACCAGTCTGGGCAGGACCCCCATGTCAACCACGTGACCAATGCGCTCGTTACTGCCATCGGTGAGGTAGGACAGGGCCCAGCAGGTGTCTGAGACAATCTCACTGTCTTGGTGCTGCAGAAGGTAGGAAAGGACTGGTAGCATCTGCTTCACAGCTTTATCACAAGGGTACGGGTTCTTGTTTCGGCACAGGTTAGACAAGGTCCATGTGATGTTCCGCAGAAATGTGATCTGTAACAAGAAGATTGCTTCCAGTACCAGGTACAAAGGAGAAAAAAATTCAAATGACAGTGTGTCCTTATTATCTCTGATCATTATTGATTGATGTGAACCAAAGCTTTTGAGTTTCAAATAGGAACATGTTCTAGGCAGCAATATGTATTAGAAACACAGAAAATGAGCTATATATTTCATATTTAAGTATTAAATGGAATTTTCTTTATGTTTTTTCCAAATGTCCTTCCTCACTGTGCTCAACTGATGACCTAATTTCATTTTTCATTGATAAAAAGATCAAATAGGAATTACTTGATCTTCCCACCAGCCTTTACTCTAGTAGCACAATATCACCATATTTCTGATCTTTTGTTTGAGGATCAGGATTCCTATTGTGTCTCTGGATCCTAACTTTTTTTTTTTGAGAGAGAGAGAGATTTTTGTTACAGGGTACATGCACTCGCCAGAGAGTCAGAGACAGCAAGAAAGCAAGAAATCCGCCCCCCACTCCACAAAAGGGGATAACCTTGCCTCAATCCCTTCTCCTCCATCATCCTCTTGGGATTTTGGGCATGCACACATATATGCCTGGCATGAGTTTCAAGCAACTGGGTCTGGGACTTGAACCACTAACGACCACGTGGGAGTCCAGTGACGTAACCATTATGCCATCTGCTGGTCCCCTTATCACTTTTTTTTAAAAAGTCATTTTTTTTTTCTTACAGATGGCAGAACACCTCTCATGAGGCCTTTATGCCACTATCCACTCCAGTCTCAGCCAGTCTGGATCATGGGCACGCATATGTGTGCCTGGTATACACACGGAGGTCTAGGGAAGCAAATCTAGCTACTTCCCATGTGCATCCAGTTAAATAATCGCTATGCCACCTCCTAGCCCCTGGATCCCTTTACTTTTTGCCTTTAAAGATTTCGTCCTTGGGGGACCAGCAGATGCTGTAATGATTATGTCAATGGATTCCCACGCAGTCAACCACAGTTCGAGTCCCAGACCCAGTGGCTTAAACCTCACGCCATCACATGTGTGTGCATGTCCAAAATTCTGAGAGGAGAATGGAGAAGATATAGATATACATATACATATACATACACACATATATATAAAACAGATTCCAGTATGGGACCTCCAGTCTCTACCCTCTAGCTTCTCCCACAGTATCTCTCCAGCTATCACCCCCATCTGTTTTCAGAGTGTCATCAAGGAGGCATCTATATATTCACCTGTATATTTACCTCACAGTTTCTCATTTGTTCCAGTTCTCTATCCAGTTTCTTCTGCCCCTTTACTTTAGAGTTAGTGATTAAAAACCAGCTTCTCCCAAGTTACTTAACCTAGTGGCTGCTTCTCAGTCCTTTAGTTCCTGTCCCTCCTGGTTGTATTGCGCCATCAGCCACTCCCTTTTGAAAAAACTATTCTTAGCATCTATGACACCAAAACTGGTTTCCTATAACTGAGTAGGTTATTTTTCTTCAATCTCCTTGGCAGGCTCTGACTTCTTTTTTATTTTTTTTTTAATAATTACTTATTTATTTAATTCCATTTGTTATTTTTTAATTTGACCAGAGTGAGCCAGAGAAAGGGAAAGCGAGAAAGCAAGATGCCAGGCCTGGGACTTGAATAGTGGTCAGCCATGTGGGAATCCAGCACCTTTAACCACCATGCCACCTGCTGGCCTCCTCTTTCTGACTTCTGAATGTTAGGACTTGCAGGACTTGGTCCCTGGCCCTACTCACACTCTAGATCTGGAGGTAGCAGTCTGGAGAGTAAATATTTTCAATATAGTCACTGCTATAACTACTCAATTACATTCCTGCAGCACAAAAATGGTATCCATCTTTTTTTGGGGAGAGGATTTTGCCATAGGGCACATGCGTTTGCCAGACAAAGAGAGACAGAAAGCAAGAAATCATCCCCTGGGGGGATGGCCACGCCACATGAGTTTTAAGCCACTGGGTCTGGGACTCGAACCGCGGCCAACTATGTGGGAGCCCAGCGACATAGCCATAACGCTAACTGCTGGTTCCAAAATGGTATCTATCATTTACAGAAAATATGTAAACGAGTGGATGAACCTGTGCCCTAATAAACCTTTATTTACAAAGCAGGCAGTTGGCCAGGCTAGGTTTGCTGATTCCTGCTCTAGTGGGCCTTGCCCAGCTGGATCACTGTCTCACATATTCTCTCATACTCATGTGTGCATACACACACACTCGTCTGAACTGGTATATCCATCAACCGGACATGGCTGTCAGGTTGTTATTGCCTCAACATCTACAGCTACAGTTCTGATTCCTTTTTCGCCTCCCTCTTCCCCCTTTCTCTCAGAGAATAGTCATCTAAATAACCTAACCTGAAATCTACCCTTGCCCTTTTCTGTCTCCCTTTCACATGTATAATAGCAGCATCCCAGGTCCATCTGCTTCACCATTTTTCTCTCCTATAAACCTACAACAGGCAGCCAGAATAGTCTTTACAAAATTTCAGACTTTACTTCCTGCCTTCCAAAGACTTCCCATGGCCACCAGGGAAGCCATGTCTAAGCTTTTAATTTAAAAAAAAAAAAAGAAAGAAAAAGAACGGGCTGGCTGATGGCATGGTAGTTAAGGTGGCTGGATCCCACATAGCTGACCATGCAGATTGAGTTCTGCCATCTTACATTGCCTCTCTTTGCAAATTCCGTTGGTTATGATTAGCTTTATTTCTGGTTCAATTGTGTCACATTGCATCCTGCTTTCAGTTTTGAACATATTCCTTTTGCTTCTCTTCATTTTGTTTGAGAGAGATCTAGAACACAATCTCCAAATCAGGGAGTCTTCTATTGTTGCCACATCAACCAACTTTAACTCCTAGCTTCAAACCTAGATCCTATTATCCATGAACAGAACTGTTAAGTCATTAAATCTATCTGTGCCTCCTGAATAGAGATCATAACCATCTACTTGTGCAGGGTGATATGCTTTGAAAAACTTTAACAGGCCCAGCTGTAGTGGCACAGGAGTAGAGCGCTACTCTACAATATTCGAGCCATATGGAAGACCATGATTGGGATCCCAGGTTGATCTGAAATACACAGGGTGCACACATACTCATGATCCTGGCTGGCCAGAAGACCAAAGGTGGAGAGGTAGATCATGGTATGAAAAGATCTTGTCAAGGGTTTCTCTCTTTCAAAAAAAATTTTTTTTAATTTAAAAAAAAAAAGAAAAAGAACGGGCTGGCTGATGGCATGGTAGTTAAGGTGGCTGGATCCCACATAGCTGACCATGCAGATTGAGTTCTGGACAAAGTGGCTTAAAAAACATGCCAGGCAGGGACCAGCAGGTGATGTGGTGGTGAAGAAGTTAGACATTCCCACATGGCTGACCACAATTCAAGTCCTGGAGGCTTGCTTTCTCACTTTCTCTCTCTCTCTTTCTCTGGTCAAATAATAATAATAAAGAAGAATGAATAAACACAATTAAATAATTATTTTTACCTTTTTTTTTTTTTTGGAGAGGTTTTTGCTATAGGGCACGTGAGCTCACCAGACAGACAGAGAGAGACATAGAAACAGAAAGCGAGAAATCACCCCCCGGGGGGATGGTCACGCCGCAATCCCTTCTCCTCCATTCTCCTCTC